GACAATTTTGGGAGTGACTCCCACATTATTGTGTAATTGATTTGGAGGAGAATGGGAGAGCCCAATTAAAATTACTAGCGGGCAATTAGCAGGCCGCCCCACCCCCCTTCCCCACAAGGCCCCAAGGAGACGCTAATGTGGCTAATACAGGCGCCGAGCGAGAAATTAGAGAGGCTCGGCCTGGGACACCCACCGAGCACAGCTTCTGTTACGCTCACACACACACACTCACACACACACACACACAAAAATGGAGGATAAGGAGAGAAGGGGATTAAAGAAGGCAATGGCAACCCTCCCTCCACCTCCTCCTCATACAGACACATACAGTCATACACGTCTCAACTCCTAAGATTTCTTCTTTTCGGTGTCTGCTCATTTCCTGGTTGCTCCGTATGAAAGTGTGTGTTGTTTTTGTTGTGTATTTATCAGTGCTGTCATGTTCGCTTCACCTCTCCTCTCTCTACTAGTGCTGCATGATTAATCATATTTTTACTGTGATACGACTTGTCCTGTAAACACTGTTAAGGGCCGTGACGACAGATCACATAACCTTACTCACACGCACCCCTAAAAGATGCAATTACTATATATTAGGAATGTGTGCTTCCCTGACAGGGACTCCAACAACTCTCGTCTGCAGAGTGAGTGACTTAACCACTCTGCTATAAAGTCAGTTCTAAAGCTTGATACAAATGCTTTAAACAAAGCCTACTGTTCTCAGTCCCAGGGTTTTGTCTAAAACGTTAAGCAGTAACGGCTACTGTTACAACAAACATGCATCACCATAAAGAGTTTTAAACTATTTTATTTTATAGTTTATATGGACTATTATATAGAAAAATCTTTAATTTGTCCACCATATCCTTTTGTGCATTTACCGCCACTTTAACTCTTAACTCCATTAACTTCCATCCGTCCAATCCTAAAAACATCAAGTTACAGCTGTGTCCTCCCAAACGAAGCTGCTCCCAAAGGAGTCACTGACATTTATATAAGCAGCTACCCAAACTCACCTTAGCTGCCTCCACATTTCTCTCTCATGTGCAATTAAAATAACTCAAGGAGATACATTTGAGGAGATTACATATACAACAATCCACTTGCATGAGGAAGGAAAAAATATAGGATAATAAGCAAAGATAGCAGGAGCTTCCAAAACTGAAGTTCCAAAAATTATTAAAAGCTACAGGAAAAATGAGACTCCTAACAACCACCCGGAAAAGCTGGTAGACACCAACACTGCCCCATCAGATAAACAGCACTTAAAGCGTTCAGGAGGAGAATATATATAAACAATGGTCAACATATTCTCTACTGTTTATTTGAATTTAACATATGGGGGGGGGCATAAAATATGGCCTGTGAAAAAGTTATGGTATTTGATTTGATATTTGATATTTTTTGTTATTTTTTTTCCAATACATTAAAGTCAGCAAATAAGTAGAATTCTTGCACAAAAATGAACAGAAAAATATTTACGTTTTATCGGCACTGTCAGAACAAAATCTCTCCATTTATATTTTTATAGATTTTTTTTTCATAATTTAAAAAATGCCAGCTGCTCTTTATACTGTGTGACAATTATGATGAATGTACCAATAGAAATACTCCAAAATTACTTGGCATAAAGTTCTTTTAACTTAAATTGACATTACAAACTCTGAACTTGTTACCATTTTAAAGATGGGATGAATGTGTGTGTGTGTAAATATATATATACATATACACACACACACATGTATATGTGTAACATCTATATCTATGTAAATGTATATAAGTGTATATATAACCTTACATTGCACAAAAAAATGTGTTTGTAATTATTATTTAAGCAGCAATTATTATTCCATTAATTTCATTTTGCAAAAATTGTTGGGAGTCTGTGCTTGCGGCACACTATTTAATCATAATTTATAGCTTCTTATATTACCATCACAATATTCAACTACCTAAATAAACAGCCCTAATCTCTCACTCCTCTCACACCTGAGAGCGGTTAGCTCAGGTAGCATTAAGGTGGAATTCAGTCTGAAAAATGGTGCTGATTTGAAGTCAGCGAGCTCTAAACAGTACGTTTTCTCAGAACTGACCACCTGAGGACGGCGATCTGTGATTTAAAACGCGCTTATTTCATGAGTCGCTGCTAATTTAAGAACCACAAATCAAAAGCTGCAAGCTGCATTCGAGTCCAATTCAAAAGCTTCTGCATGAAATCCAGCACGCGCTCAGCTGCGCCGTCCTATATGACGCAACTCTAATGACAAAATACTGCAACGCTGGGCAATTTGCTTCTCCCTTGATTAATGCTTGTAAATTAACCTGTTTTTTTTTTTCTTCCACTCTCATTTTTTCCTCTGAGCGAAGCGTCCAACTCCCCCCACCCCCAAACACGCCCCCCCAACCACACATACACATCCACTCTGCAAACTGCTACAACAGCAGCAGGCGCGTGCCCAGGAGAGATAACTCAGAGAGAGAGAGAGAGAGAGAGAGAGAGAGAGAGAGAGAGAGAGAGAGAGAGAGAGAGAGAGAGAGAGAGAGAGAGACTTCCTCAGGAACCCTGGAACTCTGCCAAGTCTTTCTTCTCCGCCGCTTGCGTTTCACTCCCTCTATCATGTCGGGAGTCCTAATGAAATAAGTCAATAAACAAACACAGCCGCTCCAAACTAGACAAGCACGACGGAACACGCCGAGCAAACAAATAAATAAATAAAAGCCAACAAGCAAACAAGCGAACAAGCTCGGAATTATCGCCGGTGGAAAGACGCTGCTTTTCTTCATCCGAACCTTGGCTCCAGATCAGGAGAGAGGCGCTCTCTGCTTCTCTTTCCTCTCCTCCTTCCCCTCTTTTCCCTCTTTTCCTCCCTTTCTCTTTTCTCCTCCTGCTTTCTCTTCTTCATCCAACCTTCCTTTGTTTTTTAAATTACAACGAAGCAAAAGCAAATCCAGTCTCAAGTAAGGAAAACAAACAATCCAACAAACAAATGGGTCAGTGACCTGTTGTGTATTTTTTTTGAATGTCCATTATTTTCTTATTAAATAATTTTAATAAATATGTGACATATATCACACATTATTTTACAACACCTCCTTTGTATTTTCAGTAAAACTGATTTTAGGCAAATTTATTTTGGCCCAAAGTCCAAACATGTCTGCTGGTGCGACAAAGCATAAACTTTATGCTACACTATTGAAAGAAGTATTTTATTTACATAAGATTCTAAATAAAATAGTTTGCCATGATTTTAGGTTCATGAAACCTTTAAAATCATAACATGCAGCAGAACTGGGCAGCTTTAAAAGTGTTCAACTCATTTAAAAACTTTTATTTGTATATTCTTCACATGTCATGTGGCACAACCCCCAACAAAGGACTTTTATTCTGCTTTTAAGATAGAGTGGGTAGGGTTTGCAAAATAAAGAAAATGACCTTCACGGTGCAGAGCCATGGTCAGCAGCCCTTTCACAAATATTGTAAAAAAAATTGTCATTTTCAAGTCACGGTTATGCTGTATAATGAGGTCAGCTGGAGTGACCACAGGATGAGTTATCTGTAATAATCATTTTTATTTAATTAACAAAAAATGTTAGTTAAAGGTTTATAGAGGTGTCCAAGTATGTTTTCTATAGTGGTAAATAACTTGTAATTATAAAATAAACATATTTTTATTAATTCTGGTTGTGCCATAAGACAATTTCGAAGTAAAATTAATGGTTTTGTTAAAAAGGTTATGAAACTAAAACCAATATACTGAACAGATTCTTGCAGATACAAAAAATCATAGAAAATCCATTTTAATAAGACTTTTAATGTTCTTTTTAAAAGCCATAATTGTCATTGACCCACACTAAAAAATAAGTTAACAACAATAATAAAACATAACAAAAGAATAGGAATAAAAAAAATATGTGTACATGTGGAATTAATTCTTCTTCTTAATAATAATAATAATAATAATAATAATAATAGAAAACATTTGATTTCTCACAAGAGCTTTTTAATGCCTATATTTGAAATATAAGACAGGAAGGAACTCCCCATTTCTCTCTCTCTCTCTCTCTCTCTCTCTCTCTCTCTCTCCATCTCTCTCCCTCTCTCTCTCTCTAACTTATCATTCCTCTAAACTCATAATTAAACTTGGGGGGTGTCTGCGTTTGATTGGCAAAACTTTATCTGGCTCCCTGAGGGATGTTCAGCCACTGTAAATGATTTATCGATGAAAAAAAAAAAACGCATCCCACGATGCATCTGTGGGCGATGGCCCCGGGGCAGGTATTGAATGACCTCGGTAGACGGACCCTCACTTTGCCCTTCTAATGTCTGAGCGACGGACTGCAGAATTCTACTTTGGACACAAGTTCTGCACTTTTCAAATTTGGCCATGACATGTCCACTCTAATTTGGGTAAAATTTCAATAGGGATTGGTCGATACATCGTCTGGCTGACACAGTTGACTTACAGTAGAATTATTTATAATTTTTTTGCCATCAGTGAGGACATCTACACCACTGATAACCGCTGTGTACTGGTTTTAGATGTATTAGATGTTGCACTGAAAGAGCATGACAGCATACTGGTTGTTTTAGTGTTGTTGTGATTTTTTGAATAGGCGCCCCTTAAAAACAATAAAATATCAGCAAAGATATCAGCTATGCCACTCTCTGAGTATCAGCATTGCCACCAGCCCTCACATGATCCACACATTCTGACAGATTGTAATACACTACAGGAAGTGTAGGGGGCGATATGACTTCTATTGTTTCATTTAAAAAGCGCTCTATAATGTTCATACGAGCCACACAGTCATTCTGACAGACTGTAATACACTACAGGAAGGGTAGGGGGCGATATGGCTTCTATTGTTTCATTTAAAAAGCACTTAATAATGTTCATTTGATCCACTCAGTCATTCTGACAGACTGTAATACACTGCAGGAAAGGTAGGGGGTGATATGGCATCTACTAATCTACTGAGAAGATTTTAGATTTACTCACCCAGCTTTAGCCTCAGAGCAGCCAGTGGTCCTCCATGGAACCTGAGTAGCAACAGATTGTGCACTTCCAGACCCTCGGCATTCTGGGACACAGGTGAATGTGCCCACTCGATGTCTTCTAACCCGCTGGACACCTTCATGTGCCAAACCAGCTGCAGACTGGCACCAGCCTGGCCCTGACCACCCTCTTCCTCGCACACCAGCCGCACTGGGAGAGGGGAAAGGCCCAAATCGAAAAACTGAAGTTCCCCCTGACCCCCAGCCACCACCACCAGCCCTCCAGAAGGGTGCCAGGCCAGCAGTGAGGGGGGCATGGGGCAAACGGCCTGTACAGAAACCCCAGTCTCAGGATGTACCAGCACTACAGAGCTGTCCTGCAGGCCCAGGAGGAGCCAGCGCTCACTTGGGTCACGGCACCAAGACACTGGGGCAGAGGGGAGGGGTTGGTTGACGGCTGAGAGCTGCTGGAGCCGCCCGCGAGCACATTCATACACACAGGCCTGAACTACAGGGGGGCAGGCCTCTTCGTGGAGCTCTGCCGTGGGGTCACGGGCCTCCTCTCGCAGCTCAACAGTGAGGATGTGGTAAGGCTGGGTCAGGCTGAAGCAGCAGTCCAAAAGGTCGCTGTCCGTGCGCATGGAGCTCAAGACCTGCACATGTTAACAAAGTAAACAATGCGCATAAACAAAATTTGTTTTATAGGTTTTTAGGGGATTGTGAATTATTTATTAGAATCAATTTTATCTAAATTAACCAGCTTCTAGGCCAAAGCCTTCAGAAACAATCAGAAAACAATCTTTCGGCCATCTGGCAGTGTGAACCACTGTAAACAATCCAGACTCGGTAAGTTTCTGAGCATTTATGCAGCAATTATGCAGAAAATTTGAAAAAATCTGAGGATTTCCCTTTCAACTAAATATTAACAGCAAGAAAACTTTTTAAAGAAGGCAACGTACACCTAAACTTCTGAGTGTACCCGACTTTTAATCTTCAATCAGGAATCAGTGGACCCCGGCAGGCCAGTTTTTGGTCAGTCACAACAACAAAACTACAAAACTGCATCCACAAAAGTGCAATCGCTGTGTGTTAGCGCACTCTGAGCCAGCAGTGGGCTTCATTTGGCTGTGGTGCAGGATCCTGTTGGGGGCTTTTCGAACGCTTGTGAAAGTGAATATTCAGCATCCTACACTCATCCCAATCCAAACACGGGCCAGCCGGCACCAGCAAAGATATCACGGCTACAGCGCAGCACGCTCTGCAAATTTGTTTGCCGATTTAACCGTGGCACGCACACACACACAAGAACTCACAAGCGCACACGTGGCTTAAAAAGTGCTTTAAAAAGTGGGGAAGTGTTCAGGGTTTGTGGTTTGTCCATAGCCAAGCATGTGGTTCATTTTGTGTACAGACAGAGAGAGAGAAAGTGAGGGTGGGGGGATAGATGTGTTTTGGCACGGTAATGTGGTGTGTTTGGCTGTGCCAGCAGCAGCGGCAGCATTAAGCAGGTTGCCTACAGTCTCTGTGTGGAAGCAGAGGATGAGGGCTCCATTTTTTCCGCTCTTTTTTAGCCCTAATCCCCCCAGGCTGCCTCCCGCGGCTCCCCAGGGGGGCGAAGGGGGGGTATTTGGGAGGGCGGATGGGCGAGGGAGGGTGGAGGGTTCCGGAAAAGAGCCAGAGTGCCGCAGAGCCGTGGCCTGCTGAGGCACACCTGCCCCAACCACAGGCCTCCGAAACAGGACTAAGCACAGCTGGGCTGGGGCGCACAACCAAATACCCCACTGACGAGGACAGCACTGCAGACCAGTGCCCTGACTAAGACTACCACAGTGCTCACAACCCACTGACTAGGCTAGCACAATGCCCAAATATTGAAGCTAATATTGCAGATGCTGCAGACTAGCGATAGCCGAACGTTACGTAGCAGTTACGTAGGTGTATACCACAGTTAGGCTGCTGATCTCACAGAAAAGGACAGCACTGTTGCCCAGTGTCCTTACTAATACTGCCCCACAGCTCACAACCCACTTGCTAGGTCAGTATAATACCCAACCACTGAGCTAATTATCAAAAATAGCTAGGCTAATGTAACACAGTTTTCCAAATATTTAAGTTAACACTAGAGATGCTAACACCCCAGGAAAGTGCTACCCTAAGCCCCATATAGCTAGGCTAATATTAGCTTACATGCTTATACTATGCGTACAAAGCTCCACATCTGCACACAGACTTACAAAAATTAGTAGAAACAACACAGAAAATTCTATTTAACTTCCACATCTAACACCCACTGACCAGGACAGTACAGTATTACCTCAAAAACCCAAATGTCAAACCCAATGTCCATATATCTATGCTAAAGGCACAGATGCTAACACCTTGTTGCCCACTCTAGTGAAAAAAGTCCATTTCCATGCAGGTTTAAACTGGTTTTGGAGTTAGTTTAGCTGGTCACCCAGCATGGTCATGCTGACTGACCAGCATGCCAGCGTCCAAAGCACAACATATGCTGGTTTTGCTGGTCACTAGCTATGCTGCTCCGAGCTGTTTATGTCTAGCAGGTCAGGCTAGTCCTAGCCTAACCCCTTGTAGTTGTGCTAATATTACACAGTTATACTGTGTGTAAGAAGCTCTGGATCTAAACATAGATGTACAAAACAAAAAAGGATCAATTCAAACAACAATTCACAACCAGCACCCCACTGACCAGAATAGCCACATGGCCCAAAGCCCTAATGCAGCTTACAACCCACTGATAAGGCTAGCCCAATGCCCAAACATCTAAGCTCAGTTCAGTCCTGGTACCGTTGCCTTGCATAGCTTAGCACTGTCTCGCCTCAAGCACACACAGTTTAACTCAGAAAAGGCTGGTTAACAGGCCTTTTTTTTACAATGATCTTCATGTGTACATCTGCAAAAGTGTTTGGGTAAAGTAACGTCCAGTTAAATGAAAGATAACATAAAACTAGCATATCTCCTTCATACATTTTCCAAACTTTTCACCATTAAATGTGCTTCCATGAGTTAAACTGTCGTTCCACAGCATCCTCAAAACTTTCTGGCCTTCAACCAGAACTGTAAATTCCTTAAGATGCCTTCTACAAGGCTCATGCCAGTTTAGTCTAACATTAGCATTACCAGTTGAACCCAAACAAGCTACTATGTTTGCTACTAAAATGTGCAAGACAGCAGGACTTTAGGGCCAGGAACAGCAAACACTGATCTAAGCTAATACAGATGCTAACACTTCACTGCCCAGACATAGCTAGGCTAAAATGATCTCTGTTACAGATAGCTCAATGGCCAAATATCTGTGCTAATGCATTCACCTGACCAGTAGTAGCCCCAAAAACTAGGGATGGTTTTCAAAATGATGCTCAACCACCTTACTCTAGACTCAAACTCCTCAAGTATCACCATATTAAGCAGATCTGTCATGATTACCTGAATATATTTGAACAAAAAAAATTTAATTGATTAAAATCCTTAATGAACTGGTTTAGTGATTACTATGCAATTTAAGTGATGAAAGAGGTCATTATAAAGTCATGTTCAGCAGTCTGAGCATTCTCCACAAGGGGTAGCTAAAATCACTTTTGTGTGTTTCATTGAAAGAGAGGAAACCCTCACCAGCAGGATATCACAAATGCACTTATGTTTGTAGTTATAAATTTCATGTATATAAAGTAAAATTAAATGCATCTTATGTACATAGGTGACTACATGACTGGGGTTTAATTAGGCCTTCTAACTTAATGATTCAATTTCATTCTTTCAGTTTTAAATCCAAGAAGATTTAAATATTCCAAAAATGTGAATGTGTTAACCCATCTAAGGAACAACATCATTTTTCTGAGGTATTTTTGATGATAATGGCTTTAATGAGTAACAGAGTTTAAGGTAACGGCACAGAATTATCAAATATGCAAAATGTGATTAGCATGGCATGAGGACGTTAAGGACATTCTAATTCCTTTTTTTAAAATAAATAATTTACATTTAATCTATATTTTAGGTAACAGGGTTTAACTTTCAAAGTGACTTTGTGTGTCACTGAAAACAAAGAAAAAAGAACGTATTTTTTACTGTCCCATGTTCTTCAGGAAATTTAAAATATGCTTAAAAATGCTTAAAACTTTTTTTCAAATTTTTGAAATATTTCTTAATGGCTAGAAATAATGGGGCACAAATTGTTCATAACCTATAATAGATGACTCAAGGAAAAGTGTGTTTCAGGCATATGTGCTTTCACATATTAATGCAAAAATAATGATTTGCTAAGTATTTTAATGGTTATATTTCAAGCTAAAGTGTAGCTGTAGTTCGCTGGGACAGGCAAAAATACTGTTTTTTAAGTGTAGTTTATTAATGTTTTCAATGGCCAATGTCCTGTATTGTATTTTATTTTTCTCCCGACATCCATTTATTACATCTGTGTGGTTTTATGTACCAAAAATGGTCATAATTCATTTTTACATGACCTGAAACATGTACATGTTTAAAATGTCTTTTACCTGTACTTTACATACATATTTGTAAATATAACATTGGTGGGACACAAATGGGTGTGAAAATCGTGAAGATCGTGAAACCAGACACATGACTTCTTGATTATTCCTCAAAATAATCACCAGATTATTAATGTAATTGACAGTGGCAGCTTTAAAGGTGATGCAATCCCCCCAAACAGACTAGCTGTGTTGTTCAGCTAAAGTGTGAGTGATTCTGATTCTGACCAAATAATTTGCCATGATGACACTAAAACAAACAAACAAACAAAAATAAAAAAAGTCGACAGTGGGAGTTGCTGAGTGGAGTGGTTGGTTTGCGTTTTGACGCCGGGGCCATTTTGAGAGCCTTTCCTCTGCCTTCCATAAAGAGATTTAACGTCTTCACAGGGTGAGCCTCCTTAAATCCCACAGCTGCTGCTGAAACAATGACAGATTCAATTTCACAAAGACAAACGGCACCTCAGAGAGTGAGGGGGTGCGATCGAGAGGGAGTGAGAGTGCGAGCGAGCGAGAGAGAGAGGTAACCGTGGCAAATAGGTCTGTGCTAGTTATTGGTTTCGGTGACTGGTCAAAACTATTCTTCTCTTGTCTTCTCCTCTCTTCCCTGGACTTTCTTTTGCAGCTTGAAAGATAAACCCGGCCAAGTCCAGCTGAGCGGCGGCCCTTGTTCACAGCGGTGGCCCTTTTTGAGCCAATTTTCCAGTTCAGAGAGCAGAGAGAGAGACAGAGAGCGGGAGAGAGAGAGGGATGAGGGGAAGAGAGTGAGAGAGTATGTGTGAGGGAGAGAGATGATGATGAGGGCAGAATGGAAGGTTCTGCGGCAGCAGCTTCGGCCCAGACTGGAGCCAGAGAGTGTGAACTACACAGATACTTGTCGGTTTGCCGTGGCGTGAAATCCAGCCGCTCTCAGCCGTTCCACTGGGGGTCAGCCACCCCACCGAACCCTGCTCGAATCGACTCATAATGAATATTCCTGCCATCCGGACACAGGGTTCTGGGTTAACGGCGGAAAAGGTTCACTCGTTTTAGAATTTTCTCGTGACGAAACGCATTTAGGCATCTGTTTTATAACTGGATCCTCCAATGTACTTTGGGGATCATTTTTATCACTTTAAAGAACTACTTTGGAGAAAAATCAGGTT